TATAACACATTCTTCTTTTTACATGCATTCTGTAATCCCTTACTCATCCATGGTTTCCCACTGTAATTCCTTTTGTTTTTATACTGCTTACGAGGACAGTTCCTGTCATATACTTTCTTAAATATATTTAAAAATTGCTCATATACTTTATCTAAGTCTTCCTCTCTGTAAACTGATTCCCAGTTTTGCCCCATAAAATCCTCTTTTAGCCTCCTTACAGCATGTTCATTCGTCACCCTCCTATAGAAAAGATTTGTTTTTGGCCTCTCTTTTCTATACTGGCCCTCATAAACCACAAATACTGGTAGATGATCACTAATATCATTTATAAGTAATCCACTAGACATTTTGCTGTCAATAACATTGGTAAATATATTATCTATTAGTGTTGCATGCTGGGTTGTTTCTCTACTTGGTTTTGTAATTTTTGGGTATAAACTGCATCTATATAATGTGTTAATAAACTCCTCAGTTCCTGTGTGCTTGTTAGGATTCAACAAATCTATAAAAGTCTATTAAAAAATCTATTAAAGTCACCACATATGAACATTAATTTATGACTTATTGTCAAGTAATTTTCTTCCATCCAGTCATTAAATTTTTTTATGCTGGCTCCAGGTGAGCCACTTCTGCAGAGAATAGGTTTCACCAGTTGACCACCAAAAGGACCATAAAGAAGTGGGCCGATCCGTCAGGCACCCTTACTGTCAGCTCCTGCTTGATGCACTCAATGGCAGCCTCCAGTGCCCTCGTCCCACGAGTGGCTTCATCCTCCACTGCCTTTACTGTCTTCAGAAGAGACGTTACATTGGTCACCATGACCTGTCAAATAAAGGGAGGAATAATGAGGCTCACAGCAAAACCAGGAGGTGGAGCCCTTTCTCCTCTGCTGCAAAACATTATATTAGAAAATAATGTTTTGCCTCCTTCACTGATTCCATCATAGTGAACAAGGGTTACATGTGCTGGAGGTGCTTATCTAATGAAAACAGAAGACATCAGCTGAAGAAAAAGAAGACAGGGAATGCATTTTAAAATAATAATAATAAAAAAAGCTGCTTTATGATAATACAGTTTATTCACCGACACCTAGGATGGGAAATACAATTCAAATTCATGCTGACACATTCTGTTCTCTCTGTATTGCATTCAGCCAAGTGTACATTATTCAGTGAAGAAACTGATCTACATGATCGCCAGGAGTTAGAGATTCTCATTTTGGAGTCACCATATGTTGGAGGAACAAAAACAATCTGTCAAGATGACCAAGTCCATGGGTGTCCCTAATTCCATTCAGATGAGAAAACATGCAACAGTCAGCTTCAGCGGTGACTGAAGCTGCCCTGCAAAAGGTCTGATCCCTAGTTTTTACTCCTCAGCTGTGACAGTGATCATGACGTACAAGGGGAAAATGACAACTCTCTTGTGTACTGTATGTATAGTCCACATTTTATCAGCCTGTGGCAGCACCTGGAAGTTATTGAACACCTTTTCTCTGACCCAGCCATCATAACACATATGTACATTGTACCTAAAACTGTTAAATGTTTCCCATTTAATATATACTTTATATTATACTTCACCCACCTTACATTTGGCTCTGAATATACACCACCTACTGCATTTCATGGGGTTGCTTTTTTACCCATTTAGGTTCACCTTTAAAGTTTTTATGTACCTTATGTTTTTCCTTACCTGAACCCAGGCGTTGTACTTAAACCCAAACTTAAATGTTTGGGTCATATTGATAAAACTTACTTGACATGAAAAATATTAGTATTTTTCATGTCAAGTAAGTTAAGCTTTACTTGAACCTTCCCTTAGATCAGGTCTTGACAGTTAAGCAGATTCCAAAACCTATTATAGCCTAAACAGTCAAAACAAAAAAAAAATCTGATGATTACAGATAGTTCTCTGTAAAACTCATTAACCCTTTCTCTATCTCAAACACACACACACACGCCTGCACACATCTACCTCTACAGTACAGTATGTGAATTGAATCCTACTGTACATAGACATGACAGAAAAAGTGAATCAAATACATACACTGATAAGAGCTGACATCTTCTTGTAAAAAAGCATTGCATTTTGTTATCAGATATGACAAACTAAATATAGCAGTAATATAAAGAGCAAATGTGGAACCCATATCTATGTGCTGTATCGTTTCAGTGAGAAAGCACCAGCTGAATAATAAACTGGAGACTTGTGCCACTGAAATCAATAAGCAGCTAAACCAGATATGTCATTGGTTTGAATGGTCTGTTCGTGTACCTTGGCAGCGCTCTTCAGCTGATACATGGACGGGTCGTCAGCCGGCTTGCCGGCAGCACATTTGGTGGCACTGATGAGCTCAGCCAGAGCCTTGGCCACATCCCGCACAGCATTTATCAGGACCACCTGAGGAGACAGAGCTAGAATCAATAAGACACAATAGTCAGAGCATAGGTTTGTCAGTTGTACCCTCGGGAGAGGATTTAACACCGCGGCTCTTATCACTCCCACCTAGTCATGATACTTCAGACTTAGCGAAAAGCAGAGATAGAGACATACACACAGGGAAAAGAGGAGAAACAGTGTCTATCAGAAGAAACTGCAACTACACAGAGAGTATAACTGGGTGTAGACAGACAGAAGGCATTCATTGTAGATGACTAATATTAGGGAGTAGTGCAGTGATAATGGAGTATAACGCCAGGGTCCATGCTGCCTTGTTAAAAATTTAAATCTTTTAGAAATGAAAGGCATTCAACTGTGGGCACATATGACCAAACAAATGTAACTTTATTACTTATTTGTCAGTTTAAATGTGTTTTGGATTTTTATCACCTGTGTCTCAGGGTTCTCAGAGCCCATGCTGGTCGCTCCCAGTTTGACCACCTCAGTGAGCTGAGTGATGGTCTTGGCTGACGACTGGGCAGCCTGGGCTAGTTTCTCCTGGCTAGATGCAGCTCCAGCAACCAGCAGCTTGGTGTCCTCCACCAGGACCTTCGCTGTCTTCAAGATGCTCTCCCTGAGGGACAGGACAGGGTGCATAACAATCTGTTCCCCAGTCACACTCGAGTACCAGAAATATGAAAGGAAGCTGGTGCGCTTCTGAACAGAGTGTGTCTTTAGTAGGGACAATTTTCAATTTGCATTCATTATGTAAAATGCATCTTAGCTTTATTGGCAAACTGCACTTCTCCTGAGTGAGTCATCAAAAGAAAAAAGAACTAGTGTAAAAACCTAGCAACTAAAATTTTAGGAATTTAACTCACAGTATATACACATATTAAGTTTTATTTCTCTTGTGCTCTCAAAACCTTTTAATCTCTATCATGTTTTAAACATCATGAAATGTTGCTCTCTTCTGGTGATTAGAGGTTTTCATTTAACATCATAGCTTGGTCTGCTTGTCTCGTCTGTGGCAAGATCTCTGCACCTGTGGTCAGCAAACGACTCTTCATTCTCAGGGTGCAGTGTTCCAGCTGAGGCAAACATGATGGTGGTGTCCAGGTCAGCAATGATGCCAGAAACAGCACTGGCTGCTGTGATACAGGCCTGGGTGCCTTTGTTTCCCGCTTGCAGCGCAGACAATACCAAGGACACCTGGAACAAGCAAAGCATAGTATTAGACATTCAGAGAGGTCCTTCAAACAAGCCTGCTGTTTTCAGAAGTGTGAATACAGCTCGAAATAACTAGAGCTTCTTTATCAATTGCACATGTTTAATGATTAAAGAGTAGTTTTTCCCACTTCATAGAAAGTTGTTTGGTTTTTAAACCAGGTGACTGAGGTTGTAAATGTTTAAGGTGAAAGATGTGAACAAGATGGAATAAAGAAGGAAGCAGGGTTAAACATGCATGAAATCAGAGCCTGACTCTGCAAATCAAACAACTCCCCTGAAAACAGGTGTCCTCCCATCCCTCGTAAGCAAAATGGAAAGCCCTGAGAAGTACACTTCCACAAGCTTCACACGTCAGAAACCATGAGGCTACAAATGATTCAAGTTTGATTTAAGCTGTGAATCAAATCATAGCTTCAGAGTGGAGAGAAATTCTAATATGTTAGCAGCACTGGCTAGCTGCTGTCAGGGTCACAACAGGGAGATATTATTATCTGCACAGCATGAGTGTGGTCAGGAGAGCATGCTCTCATGACCTGCATGACTAGAGCAATGATAGAGTATCACACCAGCTATATCCACCTAGAATAACAAACATTAAACCTCTATTCCTCTGACTTTACACTAGTTCAAAATTAATACTAAACCTTTTAAAGGAATAAATAATGATTAAAATACAAAGCATACCTGTCAGCTACAGCATAGTAATCAATTAATCACCTCTGAGCTGCTGTTACTTCTAAAATCCTGCAGTTGAACATGCTCATATGTTCTCCATCACTTAGTCAATTACAATATATACAATTACAGTACTGAGAAGTGTATGAAACACATTTTCACAAAAATGATAATGCTGAGTTTATGCTGCTTCAAAACTTCAAGCAGCAGAGATGGAAAATTATTAAAATAGACTTCCTTAAAAAAAAAACTCTGCAAGAGTTAAAGCTGCTGTGCCAGTTTCTGCCTGCATAGCTTACCTTCTCTGAGACTGTGCGGGCACACTCGATGAGCTCCCTTTTGGAGAAGCTGTCAGTGGGGCTGAGCTGCAGGGCTCCAGCCTTCTGGACCAGGTAGATACAGCCATGGCCCAGCTCTTGCACCCGTGTCTTTATCTGGAAACCAACCTAAAAAGCATAACCAGACATCGACTTACATTGCATCCATCTTCTCATTTGTGTAACTGTACTACACATCCACAGTCGTGTCCTAAAGTGGAATGTCTCTTATCCAGCAGGTGGATAAAAAATGATTTCAAGTACCCTCAGAGAGGAAATGCTGGCACTACACCTTTAATTTCCAGACTGAGATTCACTGGTGGGTGGTACTTGATTATAAGCATCACTATAGGCTTTTAGACTTGTAGAGGCACAATGTTGCTATGGTAACCAGCAGGATTTCCAACAGCCTGTTATACACAAGATATTGATAAGAGCTATGTGCTTATTAGTATAATGTTTCCACACACTGCTGTCCTCTGGACTGCACAGAAAAGCTTAAAGACAAGAGTATGTGGGTGCTGACAGCGACGGATGCTGGAGGAGTGTATTTCTGTTTCATTTCACAATGTGGGTAGCTGCCTTCACGAAGGGGTGTCATATCAAGGAACAGCAAACATCTGCCCCTATCAGCATGGGAATGAATATATCAAATGCAAAAACATTTTTGGTGTAAAATGCAGACCTAAGCTGATGTTTCATTCTGACTTTTCAGGCATACACTAGTAAAGAGATATGTGATGGGTTAAATCCTTCACAGAGTATATGAGCATGTAAATTCTCTCCCACTGTCTTCATAAGAGGGAAAGCATGGCTTCCCACCTCCTCTGGGTGAGCAGTAGCTGCAGCAAGGCGTCCTTGGTGGGCTAGCTGCCCATAGTCCACTGTCACCTGAGAGGCAAGGCCACCAAGCTCTTCAGGACAGGTTACTGACTTAGTCATCTGGCGATAGAGACACATGCATCATCAAATATTGTCACTGGACACAGAATCAGGCGTGTACTATATATCCTGGTGTACTTGTGCACTCACCATCTCCTGTGCAGTGATAGCGATGGCTTTGGAGAACTTCACCATGGTGGTCTGGTAGTCCACAAAGGAGCCCGCAGGTTCAGGGGGTGTTCCTTCATCCAGCTGTAAAGAGCAACCCTTTAGTACTTATTATTTTAAGGCTTACAAAGCTATAAACCAAACAGGTTGCACCAGATCACAATGTGGAGGGCAATAGCATAAGGTCCACACACTTGAATAAGAAATAAATAACTATAACATTTCAGTTTTTGATTTAAAATATATTTGCAAAAATTCTGAAAACATGTTTTCAGTCCACTATTATGGGTTATTTAGTGTAGATTGATGGGCAAAAATGGCAATTTAATCAATTTAAAACTGACTAGCACAATAAAATGCGAGTGAAGAGGTCTGAATGCTTTCTGAAGCCATCGTAATTTCTTAATTAAAAAGCCATTAGTGAAAACATATGATCCTTTTTTATGTATGTATTCTCCATGCATAAAGTGATTCCACTTTATTTAATGCTAATGGAGTTCTAATTATAGTTGCTTCTCTATGTTTAATCTCAGTGTAAATTAAAAGTAGAGTTATCACCTTGCAGGTTAAATGAATGTCTGTCCAGACTCAACATATATAGTGAAGCCTTTGAAAGAATTTAATAAAAGATATTAAGTGGGGTTTTTTGGCAAAATGGAAGTTACTGCTACATTGACATGTATGATTCTAGTGAACAATTTTGAGTGAGAAACATCTTTATTTGGAGACTGTTTTTACAGAAGAGTAGAGAGATCTTCATTACATTGTCTTTGAAACCAAGTGGATGATTGTGTCAAATGTGAGAAAATTCCCTCATGGTGTTCCTGAGATATCACATTCACAAGAATAAGACTGATGGATGTACCCGCAGATGGACAGACAACCTGAAAACATAATGCCTCTGGCCACGGCTGCCGCCCGTGCCGAACCACTCAACAAGGAAAAATGAAAGTGTTAAAGTCTGGGCCAAGTGTTAAAGTCTGTACATATGTGCAGTCAATTCTTAACCACGCTGTCAACACATTGCCATGTCTCCCAGCAGGATGAGTGACAGCTAATATCACCAGTGGGCTGAGGATTTAAAACTTGTGCAATGCACTAATGGGAGTCAGAGAAGAGGACACGCTCTGCGCACACCCACTGTGGAGTTGCTCCTGTGAGAAAAGCTAATTTTGCTTTCAGATAAACAAAATTGGGAATAAGTGTCAATCTGAAATTCATTTAAAACCACCTGCTTCTCAGGAGATGGTGTCACGCATTCTTGCATTCTCTATGAAAACACACACAAACACATTTGTTCTCACCTTCCCCATGGCCTCAGCAATGGACTCCACCATGCCCCCGACCATGCCCCCCTCGCTGGCCGCCTCGTTCAATGTCACCATGATGTCATCCACAGCCTCCTTCATCAGCTGGGCTGCTTCAGAGATGGCATCGTGGGTGTGTGAGGCCTGGGGATACAGTCAGCTGATTAATGGTTGTGTCACACTGTCTTAGTTAATCCAGAAGGAAACTTATCGGCTTGACAACAACTCCAGCATTCCTACAGCTGGTAAGTACTCAGCATGTCACAAAAGGACACTTCACAGTAGTTACACGGTGGTAATAAAAATAAAAGAATTATACATGGTAGGGGGAGATGGGCAGTCTTAAAACATGTCATTTTTTGTGACTAATTATTGCAGCTGAGTTTGAGAAACAGTAGAATAGGATTAGATGAAGTGCAGTGAATGTTTTTTTTTTATTACTATTACAATCTTAAAATCAATTATGGCACTAACAGAGAGTCATAAAACCTAGAAAGAACTCCTGCGGCTTCAAATGACTTCAAATTCAGTATAATATGGAATTACAGAAATTGAAGAAGGAGATTGGCTTGAGTCTCTTAAAAGTCAAAAAGATATACCGCGGTAAAAGCATGACTGCATAACTGTACTGACTTGCTCACTGAAATTTAGCTTACTGTCACAGGTCGCCCCAGAGGGCTAAACATGAAGATATGAATATTATAAACAGCTTAGTACCTTTGGATTTCCTCCGCCCTCCTTGGCAGCATAGAGCATCTGCAGGGCAGACTCAGACAGGGTCTTTGTCTGGTCCAGGATGGTCATCTGCTGCTGGTGGTCCTGGAGCTTTGAGGCCAGGCCCACTGATGCCACAATAAGTGGATCAAAGTAACCAGCCAGCTGGGTCACCTGAGAGAACAATTTTCAGAGAACTGTCTGAGGACAGATTGGCTCACAAGATAGAAAACATACAGAATGGGGTTTTCGTTCTAAATCCAGAGGGGATGAAGGGATATGTGAACAAACCAGCACCTTGTGTCCTAGTTGAGCAGCTTCGCCTCGAGCTGCTGTAGCAACAGGATCAATCAGATGCCCAATCTCTTGCACAGAGGATGTCAGCTGCTCCTGGAGCGCCTGGTGAGTTGCAACAGCAGAGAATTATGGTGCAAGTTACAGCAGAAAGAATACAGATTCCATTAAGTTTTTTTTTCTAAAACAAGATAGAGCTGATGGGGTGCTTGAACTCACTTCCATGGAGATATCATCTCTGCAGGGCAAGGTCTGCCCAACAGCAGCCAGGGAAGCTTGCTCAATGTCCCGGATACACTTATTGATATTATCAATGGCGTAATCACACTCCCTCTGTCCTGGTGCCTTGTCCCTGTCACCACAAATAGAGAAAAATGAAAATACATTATAAAAACAGCACAATGCTAATCAAAGTTAACATTAAACATTGTTGAGAACTGCTTTTTTATTTTCTTGATGAGTTAGATGAGAAAGTAGATACCAGTCTCATGCCTATGAGCTAAGTATCTAGTTTGTTTACCAGCCAAAGTGTAAAAATGACGAGCTGTGCCTTCACAGGCAGACTATAGCGGTGTCCCAATTCAGGGGATGCATCCTTTGAAGGCTGCATTTGAAGACCAACTGAGTCACAGCCTCATGACAAAGGTTCCTTCAAATGTGGCTGAGAAATGCGTCCTTTGGCTGGGCGGTGAGGACTCCAATTGGTGGATCCTTCACGGCCGGCCCTATGTCAAGGTTCTTTGCATGCCAGCAGAGACCAGAGCAGCTGTCAAGGTTGCTCGGTGACAGGCGCATTGCTTCATAATGCAGTGGTAGGGGCAGGAACAGCTGGTAACGTAAATTGGAAATTCTCCATAAACCAGACTTCCTCATTTTGGCTCGGCCATCGCAGTGTAAGACGGCTATGTAGGCCATGTTCTTTGAAGAATGCGGCAGCTGAACTGAGACAGTTTATTTCTTGGCCAGGAACAGTTTGTGGAGTCTTGTCATCATCATGAGGTTACCTACCAACTTTGGGACATGCCGGCTTTCATACTCAACCTAGCTTGGCTGTTAAGTTTCATATTTATAAACATGGTATAAACCCTCAACAAGAGAGTGAAAAAAGCATTTACCAAAATGCTGTATTATTCCTTTGAAATACTGTCAGCTAGGGTTAAATCAAATGCAGTCTATGCTCATCCTTAACCTGCTGTAAGAATAGTGAATACATGTGATTGGAAGATCATGGGTGGGGCACTACCTTTGGTGAAATGTGCATCAGATCCACTGTACCAATTGTCATCACTGTTCTATAGTCTTCACTCAAGGCACAAGGAATCTCAGCAGATATAAATTAATGTGGCAATATACTGTTTAGTGGAACAGGTCTCACAGAATAAGCCCTCTGGTTTCAGAGTTTTGTGAACAAACCTTTAAACTCTGATTCAGGATAATCCTGCAGGAACAGATGGGGTCAAGGGTGAGATTAATACAAACCTAATAGAGGTGATGAGGCTCTTGATGGAGTCAGAAACCGTCCTGGAATGGCCAGCTAGTATTGACCAAGTAGGAGGATCTTTGGGATTGAGGGCCAGCGAGCGGGCCGCTTCTAAAAGGTAAGTAGAGCTATCGAGCATGGAGCGGGCTGAACGCACAATGGGCTCCTGCGCTGCTGAGCCCTATGGAAATAAAAAAGAGTCCTGCAGGTGAACCAACAGGTAAAAGTGAAGAACTAGCCACACTGGTTTGATAGACTTGTTAAAATTCCTTGACTACCTTGAAGAGATCAAAGGTATACTCAAAGAGCGGGGTGAGATTAGAAAGGCAGCTTTACACAGATGCAGGAAGAAGCACCTTCAGTCTTTATGATCCTAGCCAAAGCCTCCCTCGACAATTAGATTAACAAGCTGAAGATTAGAGCAGCTGTGCTAAGAGAAAGTGCCGTTAAACACTGCCCTCCAACAGATTACAGCTATAAAGCTTTTAGAAGACTGTGAGGAAACTATCCTGCTCAGGAATTAAAAATAAAAATCCATCTTTTTTCTTGAGTCTTTCCTTGACATATAAAAAAAAAGGGAAAATTGGATCTCAATCCAATTGCCCCTGTGTTTGCTGTACAAACCTTTCTGCCTCAGCTCATACAAGAGCGGCTGTTTCAATGGGATTGAGTGCACAAGTCACAAACATATTCATTAAATCTCTCTGAAGAGTAGCTTCAAGATCCTCAGTAGGGTGAGTGGAATCATTTTCTGACTGCGGAGGAAGATTGCCATTCATTTTGATTTATTCAAGTCATTAGCAACCGATGAACAAAAACAAAAAAGAATGTTCTAAACAAGGCATTAGAAGCAAGCATGAAAATGGATGAATACCTCATTGCTGATCTGAGCTGGGATGCTCGCAAACTCTGGGTTGTTGGCAAAGGTTGACAGGTTTTCCACAGCCTCAAGAAGTGGGGTTGTAGCAACACGGCACCTGTTCCTGTTATCCTCAGAAAAATCCCCATCTAAGGCCTAAAACAAGATAGTGACATATGAATATCTGTCCATTTTGGTCACATTTTTTGTAAGCGACTGAATTATATGCACGTATCCACAGCTTCTCACGTGATGGAAAATTCAGTAAGCAAATTTACACTCAACGTTTTGATCAGTTGGGGAGTTGACCTTGATGGTTTTGACGAGGTTGGCCGTGGTGTTGGCCACCTCTTTGGCTGACTGGACAAACTGTCTCCTAGCCACAGGGTTGGAGGTTTTAGAGGAGGCCAGACGGCACGCGTTACAGAGAGCTGAAGTGTGCTTGGCTACAATTGTGGCTGCAGATAAGACCTGGCAAACAGGTAAACACCATCAAACAAGAAGCACAGTTGTATAAAATGAGATATGCAGAGTAAATTAATATTTACAGAATTCAGGTTGGTTTTCAAACTTAATGAGCCATTTAATTCAAGTCACAAGAGCCCAGGTGCAGTCTCCATATGCCAGGGAATGGATTTGTAATATCTTACAGCCCCAGGTGGACCAACTTACCTGTGAAGGACTACTGGCCGGGTCCACCAAGTTCTGACAGGCCATCTGTATAGCCTGGTGGGCCCTTGCAAACTGTATGCGATCCACCAGCCCCTCATGGCCTGACTGACTATTGGGATCAGATACACCTACAAGATATGATGCCTACAGGGCAGAAAACAAAAGCACAGTTGTACTTATCTATCAGTTTGCCACTAAACAGGTCTTCTATTGTCCCCCTGTGCAGTTCACATTCTCTGACACCCAAACCTAAATACATGAATGCATGACTAGATCCATACATAGATTTATACTGCATACATGGCAGAGAGAACACAGGATCTGTCAAAGTGTGCCCTTTTGCAGACAAGGCAACTGAATCTCGCATGGAATGAGGATGTTATTTCATAGCTTTTGGTGGGGTGGGGGATGGGGGCGGGGGTGGGTCGAAGTCTGTAAAACCTATAATGAAACCTGGCTCACCTTGCCACACTGTCATGGTTTACAGTGGTGAGAGTCCTGCTAGGGTACAAAGACCATTTATAAGCAGTTTGAGCCTTGTAAAGCAAGCCAGTCGTAGACTGAAGTGGGCAAATTGAAAAGAATGTTTCCTCTCACCTGTCCTGCAGCCTCCGTTAGCCCACACAGAGCTTTGGATGCCACACTCACGCTCTCCCCGAAGGCTACCACATCACCTGTCTTACAATGCTGAGAAATGCCTGCCATTGACTCTCCTAGAACCTGATACATATAGAAAATTAGAAAATGTGTACAAATTTGATCTTCAATTGTCTGCTATGTAAAATATCTCTGATAGTTAACATATATAGTACAATTATTTTGAAAGCCTGCACCTTTGAGTTCTCCATGACACTCTCAATGCAGTCAAAGTAGGAGAGTTCACTGACAGGTTCGCTGGGATTATCTAGGAGCCCTCTGACAGCCTGTATACAGAAAGTGATTTTAATTACTTAAAACTACAATACTCTTATACTTTCATCAGCTATTTAAGTAGGATTTGGAAAGGATAATGCTATATATGCAAATAAAACTGATTAGAATATACTGATTAGAATATACTGCAATAACAAATATTGATAATCAAGACTTCTAAATACATGTCACTTTTGGTTGCTTGAGTATAAGTGACAGTAGGCATGCAAAATGCCCCTGTTCAACCAGTGTCATTAATGCAGTCATTGTAGTTTAGAATTTAATGTGCACCTACAGTGAATGTCTCCAATGGAGTAATCATATGCAAAATAGGTGGAAGCCAAAGGTGAAAAAATGCATTTATCTTCTCTGAAGCAAGACACACAATACATGCATGCAAAGGCCATAGATAAAAAAAACCTGAAGAGAAGGTTAGTGTGTGGTATAGTGTGCATGAGGACAGCTACCTCCAACTCCCTCAAGGCGTTGTCACACTCCTTTTGTCCTGCTGCTTGCTGGGTACAGAGCGTGATCAGCTGGTTAATACTCTCTGTCACCGCCCTGAAACATACAGGCTTTTTTAGCCCTCACACGCCCTTTACATGCACATACAGTGGGGCTTCACTCACATGCTTTTACCGTAGCCCCCCTGTTCAAGCATAGCACACAGGAGTGCAGAGAATGTCTTGAGTTTTTGTTCAGCCTTGCTGAGCACAGACAGGCTCCAGCCAAGGCGTCCATCTTCCTAATTAGACAGAGAGAAGTCAGTCAGGCCCAAAGCCCTGCGGCACCAGCTCCTTGGCTTCTCTTCACTAGAGGGAGGGTACGCACTCCCCCCAGCAAGCACACACAGCATAGAATTTACATAAAGACAGAGTAGGGAGATGCTTTGTAACATTTTAGTATATAGTCTGAATTTCCAGAATTGGCCACAGGCTCAAATCTGGACCAGGATTTATATTTAGGACAAAATGACTGAGTTTACTATCAAATACTGTAATACATTTCTTGGAAACACATGAAGAGACATATCCAGTGCTATCTGCATCTTATCACACCTTGCTGCCACAGCTAGAAGATTCTTAGCGTTGGCTGCACCCGGATCCACAGACAGAGACTTGGCAGCCAGCAGCAGCTTACTGGATGCCATGGAGATGTTCTTCAGATTACCAATGACTTGGATCTGGTCCTCCTTGCTCTGCTCAAGCAGGGAAAAATAAAAATAAATGGCCATTTTTAGGGTGGATTCAGATCCAGTCAAAATGTATGCTGTATCTCTTGTGTCTGTCAAGGGATCAAGTATTATAAAGTAATGCATCCCCACCACCTATATCCCCTTTTCCACTTGGCAGGCCTCTTTGAGACTCATTAAAGCTGGGGTGTCATGCTAAATCAACTCCTGTCCCAGACAGTCTTTCCAAATTAATGAGCAAAATAGCAGAACAAGAACATCACAAGATCTCATTACATCTGACTGTGTTAGTGCTCTTGGGGACAATCATATGCCTAAGTGAATTAGATGGAGAGGTCTAATTAAGAAATGACTTAAATAGCTTAGGTACTAAAGTGACACACAAATATGAGATTGAACAATCTCCTTTTAGGTTTGAACACTTCACTCCATGTCTAAAGTACTAGAGGCAGTGGATTATTATTGAACTGTTTTCATGGAGTGTGAACGGGCTGTATGATCATAAAACCTACTTGGGTGTGCCCTGCCATTTCAATGCCAGCATCTAGAAACTCATCAAAGTCTTGGCTGAACTTCCCCGAGGCCGCAGCCAGCTGGCTGCTTGTTCCACGAGAAGAGTGAACGACCTCGCCTGCAGAGTGGTTGAGCTCAGCTGCTGTGTGGTTCAGATCCGTCTGGGCATCTTGGAATGTCTTACTGCAGGGAGGGAGCTTCAAAAACAAGGCGCACATCAATTAGGCCATACTGCTTTGTATCAATACACATATAGTACACAAAATGTGAAAGAATCCCAAGTAACAGCTTGAGGAGGACTCACTATGTCCACCAGCAGCTTCTTGCTGGCCTCGCCGATGCTCCGGAGGGCCATGTCAACATCCTTCTGGCCCGGCAGGCAATTCACACAGTTATTCAGGGAATGCGACACTGCTTTGGCCACCTGAAACAAAGCACAGTGCTTTGTCGATGGACTGTCAGCAGTCATTCTAACAGTGTGCGACACAATAAGACCCAGAGCACGGCTTTAAGTAGAAAAACATCTCAAATGCAAAGTGGGCTCACAGAGGTGCACAATAATCCATGTCACTTATTTATGCTGCTGTCACAGATCTATGCCAAACAATATGTTTATCCCCTGAAGGGCTTCAGGAGAATGAGCAGTTTTACTCTGGAACTCCTGAGAGAGGAAAACCAGGCGAGAGACAGAGCAGAGAGAAAATAGCAGTGCTTAGAGGGGATGATTATTATGGAAAGAAGACATGTTTACAAATCAGTAGAGGAGAGCCAGAAGTGCTTGAGAGAAACAATGTGATCACTACATGAATATCACTGCCTCTGGAGTCTATGCTGGCAAATACTGGGAGCTATGCTACAGTACAGTACCTGTGCCAGTCTCTGCTGACTCTCAGCATCTCCAGGATGAACAAGAGCCTGATGGGCTTCGTGAATCAGCATGGCCGAGCCCTCCATAACACACTGAGCCGAGTCCAGCATTGCAGCTGCAGCTTGTGGTTCTTTGGTGCTGGCTGCCACACCTCTGGCTGCTTGGGCCAATGTCCTCAAAGCCTGCGCTGTTTCTCGGGCAGCCACACCTTTGAATAACCAGTCACACATTGAAATGACAATGAATAAATTGAGTTACAGGTACTAAGAGAAAATCACGCAGCAAACCAAAATATACCAGTATAGTAATAATATGCATAAATACAAGAAAGTGAAGATATAGCCTGACCGTTACATATTTGCAACATGGTGTCTATAGATGATACCCAGGTGTAATAGTCTACAAATAGAGGAAAAACATTTCTCCTGTGTTGCACATTTTTATATAGTAAGACTAAGTAACCATGTTTCTGCAGAAATTAGAGCTGACATTTTTTTAAACATTAATTTCAGTCTCATTAACCTTGCTTTGCAGCAGTCTGTTTAAGCAATAAAAACTGAGAGGTATGTGTATGTCCTGTCTTCACAATTATTGCAATAGCACTGTGCAAATCATCTGGCAGGGGCTAGCAGTACCACACTGAGAACTAACTGCAAGACTGAAATCCCCACGTTGTTTAAATAAATGAGTTAATATAATAAATATGGCTCCACATGGGAGGCACCCTTAACATATTACACATAGAGCTCAGAAGAAAAGCATTAACCAGCCAAGTGGAACCATTTGCTGATGAAATGTTAAATCTAGTGAAAATAAGATTAATGAGTAGTGAGCAGCACCCTGGGCCACAGCATGAAGTGCTGCCTGTGAGTGTTCATTGTTAGAAATGTTATTCCCTATCTGTCTTCATCTCTCCTCCTTTGAGATCTTCAGTTGAGCAACTGACAGCAAAAAAAAGCCAAGCTATGCAAGAGGTTCAGTTTAAAATAATAGTGACAGTAAAAATAAAGAATGCATAATTTTGTCTGCTGACTTCATCCTTCCACTCTCACTTGGTGCAGTTTTAAAAAGTTACTAAATATAAACAAAATTATAGCAATTTATTATATCTTTGCTGGCACGTAACAAATTTAGACAGAACTAAATCAATTACTAATCAACTAAATGGCTACTTATGCATTTCAGACCTGCACTCTGTGCAGAATATTCTCTTACCTGTATAATGTTCATTGCCTTGTGCAGCACATGTCAGCAGCTGGGCCATGGAAGAGCCCACAGCCTTAGATGTACTTCCTAAATCCTGTGCACACTTCTCCAGCTGTGTAGGCAACAGAAGACAAGTAAACCCTTGATTTATAGTTACAGTATGATCTCCTCAGCATTGTAATATTTCTACAGTTGGATATCCACAGTAGAATGCTTTAGTTAAACTTCACATTATATGCTGGGTTTACTGACTGTTTCCCCAGGAAGAGGTTTGAGCTGGCTATCGATGACAGACATCTTGGCATCCTGAAGCTCACTCTTAAGTGTCTGAACTGTTTTCAGGGCTGAGTCGATCTCTAGAGGACCACACGCTTCATGAGCCTTCAGACAACACACACACACACACACACACACACACACACACACACACACACACACACACACACACACACACACACACACACGTGTTACTCACATGCATGCATGCATCCATTACGCGCAGCAGCCAGGATGCTATCCTACGTGCTGTGCCTGCTATTTCTAAATGAGATACAAGAACTCTGATTATGTAAGTGCAGCCTTACATCAAACATGTCACAAGAGATAGCAACAAGTTTCCTTTATCAGCCAGATGAATCCTGCTAGTGTTATGTATAGATACCTTCTGGGTGGCGGTTCTGAGCTCTGCCAAACAGGTAGCCAAGTTTTTGGCACACTGACCCAGTTGCATAGCAGCAGCCTGGTCAGCTACTGTTGGAACTGCTGACTTTGCAGATGTCAACATCTTACTTCCAGACTGAAGGATGGTGACAGAAAAACCAACAAGAACAAATCCATAAGCTGTTTATAGGTGTATCAGATGATATGGTTTGATAGTTGCTGATTCTGTTACAATGAAAAGACTAACCTGTACGAAGTTCTGGCTGGCCATGATGAGGGCAAGCTGAGCACCCAGCTCCTCAGGCTGGGCCTGGCTGCTCCTCATACCTTGCACCAGCTGGGGAATGCTGTCTGCTACTGCCTACATTTAAACACATAGATGATAGATGCTTCAAATACAGATCATGATGTTTGAAAGAGAAAAGTGTAGTCAAGCCTACCAAACCATTCATATTTTAGTTTTACAGTACATTATTTAAGAGTAAACAAAGGGCATGAGAAAGAGTATATATGGTCATACCTTGCAGCTATGCACAAGCTGTTGGTGTGAGACAGTATTTTTGTTGGAAGCAGCAGCATTTTGGGCAGCTGCAATGGTCTGAGTAGCAGCAGCCGCTGCTTGCTTTGCAGCTATCTGTTCAGAAGATACAAATGGAAGTCATTTAGGCTAAAGTAAGGGAGTGGTGCCTGGAGTAACATTTGCTTTTGCTCTATGTAGCGTTATGCTGTCTTGTTCTCTGCTTGGAGTTGTTCTAGTCAAATAAAGAGGGGCCATAAAGCAAAATGTTTTGTAAGAAGAGGAAATGGGTGGGATTGCACTGCTCATTCTTTATTTAATGAGATGATCTGATTGGCATTGCTTTCTCCTCACTATGCTGCCAAAACTAAAGCACTAAAAATACACAGCTTTGCTCACATCATTTCATAGACACAAGGCCAGCTCAAAAATGATAAGAAAACAGAAGGGAACACATTTCTTTTTGAGTCGATGAGGAGGGGAGGAAAAAAAAACTATATCACTGGACTGTGAAAAAGAGACTAAACTGTATGTAGATTTGACATGATAGGCAGGAGCAGCATTTTCTACCTATTGTGCGGCTTTAGCATGCTCTCTGTATATTTTTAACATTGTGTAAAGAATATTGTATTTACTGCTAATTAAAAGTGCTTTTATCTGCAAAGCAAGAGAATGACAGTGTGTCAGAAGTCAACATGTGAAATTAAGGAGATCTTAAGGGCAAAATGTCTGTGATAACTGATCCATGAAATCTTTGCACACAGATTCATGACAATTTGGTCTTCACTGGCTCACAGGCTTTCTTGATGGAGGCAACCATTAGCAACATTACTGCGACCAATGGATCCAAGATAGCGGACTGAGCTGTATGTCTGATAGCAGCCTGATCCCAGCCCTGGGTAATGCATAGTTTATGTGCCTAGGAAATTGAACATTGGGTGCTCTGGAGCAGAGAGGCTACTCATTAGGGGCAAACTGATACCAAGGGCTAAACACAGATCTTTACCCTTAGATAGTTCCTTCACAGTACTAATGGGATTTATATCTGA